GACCCTACGTTCTCACCCTCGTTGGTGGCGTCGTTGGCACTCATGTTTCGCTCAAATCTCGCACAATGCAAATAACGCGCAAAACACTCAAATGGATCCACAATCAACGTGCAAATGCGGAAATGATAGACGAGTAATCACACAATCACGGGGTTGTCAACGGCCAATCACGCAAAGTGCAATCTGTACGTATATTCTTACTCACGTGCAGGGGTATACAATCAACGTGCAAAGCAACAATCGATCACGACGTGCAAGTAGATGGACGTGCAAACGCGCGAAAGATCGAATCGACGTGTGAGACGGGATAACAGCAAGCAACACGTTTCACACTCACCGTACAACGAGATGCACCAACCAAACAGACAACAACCTCGCAATGGGATCGTGCAAGCAAGACGAACAACGAACGTGCATTTTCAATTCAACGGTTTCGCATACAACGCTCACTAGAACATATTTTTCTTAACGAACGTGCAGATTTCTACCGGGTACATGAGTCACTTGCGGGTACAGATAGTTCAGTTCTAATCACACACAAACGTGCAAGAGTTCCACAATAAGCGTCACGCAATCTGTCCAACACGTCACACAACAACGGATAACAAACCAGATTTTCGGAAGACGAATAGTTCACGAACACGCACAGATTTCGTGAATCACGAAGCAAACAATCGAGATTGATCAAGGAGGGATCTCACCCGGATTGTAGCTGCGTTTCCGACTGTAGGAACTTGATCTCTCTTCCTCGATTACAATATGCAAACAATGCAACACGAAATCAGATTTCTCATCGACGTACAAGCCGCAACACGCAGAATTGTTTTCGGGTTTCCGATGGGACCGAATCAAATGACAAAACAGAAATTGATAAAGGATAGATCTCACCCGGGGAACGTCCTATGGCTCGAGCAAGCTCTGATACCAAAATGATGTACGCACAGAGGAGGATGGGCAGGAGGTTCAACCGCAATCACCGGCTCACGGTGAGTGGCTCTCGAATTCACGGATGAACGGGGAATAATCGAAGTGGGTTTACGGAGAAACGATTTCGATCACCGGCTCACGGGAGTGGCTCTCGAATTCGGAATCGTTTCAAGGAGATGGAGATGAATGAAGGCTTCCTCGGACAGACCAAGGAGAAGAGTCGAACACATCGAGCTCAAGGATGACCGGCGGACACACCGACGACGGCCAACAATGGGGCTGCTAGACAAACCGGCGAACCACGTGAAGAGGGGCGGACGAACCAGCCAAAGAGAGAGATTTCTCAAAAGAAAACTTCAATAATCAAACTTAGCTTCGTTCATGATGCATTACAAGTGTTTTAAAAGAGTTTAAGTGAAAACAATACATTAAATACTAGCTAACACGCAAGGATAGGAGCCTAATTGTCATTAAATGAAGTAGTTGACAAAATATGGCTGTTGCAACTTCTTTAATGGGCCGAGTGGGCTGATGAGAAAGGCCCATGGGCTGCATCTTAGGCTTAGACATCGACAATTCAAGTGTGAGAAAGTTCCGGGTCGAGCTTCGTCCGAAAAACGAAGTATCATTGTTATCGTGAACCCGGGATCCGTGGAACTTTGGTGATGGCTTCGGTAAGCGTGACACGAAGTGCTCGAGCTCTAGCACGAGTAAGTGGAGGCTCAGCTCTATGACTTGCTCAGGGAGCCTTCGTGTTGTGCACGTCACATCCTGTTCCTGCGGCTTCGAATGATCGTGTAACGTCGTGATCACTCGGCATGTCTCTTGGCACCTGAGAGGCAAAGCCTTCAACGTCCTCAAGAGCTCCTTCCGTTAAGCTCCCGTCTTCAAGAGCTCCTTCCGTTATGCTCCCGTCCTCCTCCAAGCTGCTAGATCCAATGTCCTCATCACTCCCGTTCTGGTGGTAGTCCGAGTAGTTCATCAGGAAACACATCGAGAAATTCCCGAACCACAGCAGTATCTTCCAGCCTTGCCTTTGCTTCTTCGGTTGCTGTGATTACAACCAGGAAGGTTTCATTTCCTTTCTCGATCATCTTGTTAGCCTTCAGAGCTGATATAATGGGATACACCTTCCGTGATCTGTTCCCAACGAACTCGAATCCTCCGCTCTCCTCAGTGAACCAAATAGTTCGCTGATGACAGTCAATCTGGGCTTGATGCTTCGACAACCAATCCATTCCCAGTATTAAGTCGTAACCCCAGATAGGTACGACGATAAGATCTGCAGTCAACATCCTCCCACAGATAGTCAAGGGCATGCAATGCAAAATCTCCTGTACTGGAAGAGTCTGTCCCGCAGGTGTATACACCATAAAAGGTGTAGTCGTATCGATCTCCATGATTGACAACTCTCCTGCCTTTTTCTCACTCAAGAAGCTATGTGTAGTTCCTGTGTCAAACAAAGTGACGCATGCAACATCGTGCATGTAAATGATACCTGTGATAGCGGCAACATCAGCCTCCTCCAGATACTCTTCATTAGTGGCCTCGTAGGTGGTCAATGGCTCTGCAGCAAATGGCTCATCTAACAGTGTATGGCTCCTCCTGGACATTCTCCTCCGCTGTGAGAGCATAAACTCTCGGAGCAACACCCGATCTCTTTTGTGATGGACGCGGTGGCTTGTTGTTGGTTTGAGGAGCTATGTTCGCAGTGCAACTCGCAACAAAATGCCCTGGTTGACTGCAGTGGTAACAAGACATGGTGTTTCCACAAGTTCCAGTATGGTCTCGACCACATTTAGCACAGGGCCTCCTATAATGTAGTGGTTGGGTCGGGGCCGTGGGGCGAAACGCCGGAGCCTTCCCCTTGTCGCGGGTAGGGGTGTAAAATGGGCGGGTCGGACCAGGTTCGGGTCGGGTTCAATTCGGGCCTGGAATTTTTCGGGCCGAGCCGGTCCGCCCATTTATTTTTCGGATCTAGGATCGATGGCCCGGAGCCCGGCCCTATAGGGCTTCAGGCGGGTTCGGGCCGGGCTTCGGGGTTTTTATCAAATAAAAATATTTTTGTCTTGCGATAATAATAATAATAATAATAATAATGTAAAATATTAAAAAAAACCAGACATAGTATAAAAAAGATATTATATGATGTAATTAATTTGAAACACGTAGAAAAAAAATCAATATATTCATATGCAAACAAAGGTTTAAAAATATATATGTTTGAAAGTTTCTACGCTTTCAAAAACATAAATTGATATATATATATATGATGTAATATGGTTTTAAAAATAAAAGTTTATGTCACTTTAAAAAGTGTTAATTGGAATCAAGATAAAGCTTCGTCATTTGGTTAAAAGATACACATATATAAATATAGCACATGTGTTTGTTTTTACACATCGAAGAACAAAATCCAAACCACTAGTACCAAACAAAACTAATATAGAGTGAGAAAAAAAATATAAAACAAAAAAATATAATCAAATAGTAAGTATTAGGTTTGATTTGGTAAAAAAAATAATACAAAAGAAGATTATACAATATATGATGTAATATGGTTAAAAAGAAGTTAAGATAATTATAGAGAGTTAAAACTTTGGTTTAGAAAAAAGGGTTAGAAAAAAAATTAATGGGCCTCAAGCCCGACCCGAGACCCGACTGGCCCGCAGCCCATTTAGCCCGAGGCCCGAAAGCCCGAAATTTAATGAGTCTATACTTTTTAGATCCATGTCCTTATTATTCTCGGGCGGGTTCGGGTCGGGTTTCGGGCTCCGGGTTTAATTGACATCCCTAGTCGCGGGGTTGACTCGTCTGCCCAACTCTCACCGGGGGACGGTTGACTGGTACCCTCCTGTATGGACTACGGTCTTGCATCTTAGCTTCCATCTTCTCCTTCTCACTGCGTTCCACCTTGTCGAGTTGGTTGATGTACCGACTCAACGTAGGATACTCATGGCACTCAATTCTCCTCCTGAGAGAAGCACGTAACCCAGCAATGAATTTCTGGATCTTGTACTCCTCGGTTGGCACTAGGTGGCCTCCATACTTCAACAGTCGGTTGAATTCGTACTCTCGAACAGTCATATTACCCTGTTTAAGGCGAAGGAATTCCGTAATACGATGACCCTGATCTTGCCTCTGGTAGTACTTCTGCTCGGATTCCGCCCGAAACTCTTCCCACGAGAATTGGTGTCCTGCGGGAGCCTCACGTACAACTTCCTCCCACCAATGGCGAGCCGCGCCAACCAAATGATGGCTCGCTGACTCAATGCGGTACTCCAGCGGGCACCTGATGTAGTTGAAGTGATGGGTGATCTTAATCATCTAGTCTTCTGCTGTCTCCGGGCTAAGAGAACCCTCAAACTCTGGAGTGTCCAAGGCTCGAAGTTCCTTGACGAATGGCAAGTAGTCCACTACAACTTGCTCTGGAATCCTCGGAGGTGCAGGCATCAGTGGTAGTGGTGGCAAACCTCCCTCCGGCCTTGCCGCAGGTGGAGCAACAGGCGGTGGCATGCAACCTCGTATGAACTGCCAGACATTCCCTTGGAACAATGCGAATTGGCGTTGCATTTCCGCCATGTCGTTATTCGGAGCAGGTGCCCTCAATCCTTGAGGTCGTTGCGCAGGTGCAGCACGTCGTGGAGGCATAGCTACTGCGGACAAAAAACTTTTATTTAGTATTGGGACCTGGTGATCATGCTTGAATTTTTATAAAATCTTTAAAAATCATTTTTACCCATTCCCAAATTCCAGTGAAAACACGAGCACATCCTTTCCCCGTGGAAGGAACTGCTCTGATACCAACATTGTAACACCCGAAACCTGCATCCCGCAATACGAGTTGCGTCACATGGACAACTAAAACAAAAACTCAATTTCTGAAAATCCGCAGGAATTTAAAACTTTTCTTTTCAGAGTTAGCGGAAGGAAAACATTCATACATACATATACGGTACATTATCCCAGAGATAATTATACATAAACAGTGGTAGTGATGAAATTATTACAAACCGTAAAAGTCTACCACCGACATAACACAAAACCGTTTTTCCCCGAAAGCGTAAATGTACCATATGAAATAATTATACATGATCAAACGGCAGGTCGCCCAAGTCTCTGACGTCCGCTCCTCGGCTACGGCTGCTCGCGACCTGAAACGTTGCGTAACAACGTCCTAAGCTAATTGCTTAGAGAGTGAACTCGGGCGCAACCGGAGTTCTATTCTCATGGTGTCAGGGAAAGCAAATACATATATATATACTAGTATTCTAATAAACAGGAATGAAACATGGAATCACAATAAGCATGCAGCAATCACAATCAAGTTCATACGAAAGGTCGCAGGACAGAGTCCGTCAAATCGTCTCTACGTGCACCATGCGTAGTGATAACTCCTAATTCTCTCTATATTTCCTGGACGTTTTTATAGGATTTATATGAGGATCATGTTCATTTGTAGGCATTATAGGTGTGTTAGGCTACGAAACTCGGTTTGGTTGTGTTTTTATTGGATTACATGTCTTGGATGAGATTTGGACCAAGATGGAAGCGATCTTGAGCTAAAAGGATGAAATACATCAAGAACTTCCTGCCTTGACTCGGCCAGAGTTAACAACGGAGATTGGGCCGAGTCAACACGCTGAAAATGACCAAATTCAAGCATGTTACGAGGAGACCGAGTCAGATTACCCCGAGTCAACATGTCCGAGTCAGAAGGCCCGAGTCAGAAGATTGGGCTGGGCCGAATCCTTATGTCTCGTTTTGACTCGGTCGAGTCAGAGTACTGACTCGGTCCGAATCAAAACCCAGAAAAAGCCCAGATTCGAATTTTCAGAGTTTAGAACGGGAGTAGGACTTTGGGAGCGCCACCTAGGGTTTATAAAAAGACTCTACGACGTCCTAGAAGGGGGACAGACTTTATACAGACTTTTGGAGAGCTTTGGTGAGAGAAATAGGAGTAAAAACGGGATTTCGGGAAGAAGAAGGAGAGCTGGAACGTGAAGATCGCTTGATGTTGACATGAGTCTTTCTTCTCCCTCTTTTCTTTCTATTTCTGGTTTTGCTCAGTGTTTTTCCATGAACCGTGAGTAGATCCACGGCTGTGGGTTAGGGATTCGTTTGTGTTTTGGGTATGTTTGAACCCTAACTTGGTTGCGATTTGGATTTGTTTTGGTTTTATCGATTTCTGCATTATTCGATTGGTGTTTGCTGACCCCTTGGCCAATTATTTCAGATTCTGAACTACATAGGAATATGGGTTTAGTTTCGGATCGAAATCGATAGAATAGATCGTATTATTCACATAGGAATATGGTTTGATCGATCTAGGGTTGATGATAGTGTTCTTCATGCATCTAGTTTGATAAATCACATAGGGATATGGATTTAGAGAACTTTAGATAGTGAGTTATATGCCGGGAGGTGATTTCTCTATTTTTGTTGCTTGACGATTCCCGAATACAGATTCAATATCGTGATTCTCGCATGCTTAACATATACCCATACACGCGAATACGGTCCTGACACCCACGGTCATCTTTGCTTCATAGTTACACGTTTTTATTTGCTTTCTTATCTTAGTTATTTTAGATTCCACATACTTCCACCATTACTTTCACTTGCTTGCTTTGATCTATTTTCGATCTAGATTTGGATTTAGCAACCAGACCTTGTGTTCGACCCCGTGTTACGACGATCCGTATCCTTGCGGTGAGTTGTGAATCGGGTTATAGATTTTAGACTCGGTACACACGTATCAAGTTTTTGGCGCCGTTGCCGGGGACTGGTTACCCTATTTCTAGGTCTTCATTGATTCTAGATCTTAGCTTGTTTTCTTTTTCTTTTTCTTTTTGTTTCTTTGGTTTTTGCGGATTCACTTGGTTTCGAGTTCTTCTTTTTTCTTTGCGGTTTGCAGGGTTCTAGTGCATGACAAGGAGCTCTACTCGGAGAGAAGACCTAGTCTACGATCCAGAGATTGAGCGTACCTTGAGAGACATCCGAAATCAACAGAGAAGAGAAGCTATGTCGAGGTCAAGTAGTTCGCACGACCGAACTTAATTATAACGGAAGGAAGAAATTCCTCCATGACGTACGGGATTATTTTTGGGATGATCCATTCTTGTTCAAACGTGGTACCGATGGGATGTTCAGACGATGCATTCCCGAGGAAGAAGTGCAACAGGTACTTTTCCATTGCCACTCTTCTGATTATGCAGGTCATTTTGCCGCTTTGAAGACCGCAACGAAGATTCTACAAGCGGGATTCTATTGGCCTTCGATGTTCAAGGATGTCCATAGGTATGTCGCCTCATGTGATTCTTGCCTGCGCACAGGTAACATTTCTAGACGCCATGAGACACCTCAGAATTATATTCTCGAAGTGGAACCTTTTGATATTTGGGGCATAGACTTTATGGGACCTTTTCCATCGTCTTGTGGGAACGTATATATCTTAGTTGCGGTTGATTATGTGACTAAGTGGGTAGAGGTTTTGGCTAGCGCGAGGAATGATGCTAAGACTGTGGTTAGGCTATTTAGACAGATTATTTTTCCACGTTTTGGTGTTCCTCGTGTTGTGATTAGCGATGGCGGCGCACACTTTGTCAACCGG